TGGGGATCTTGTGCTGAGAATTTAAAGCCCTGATCTAACCATTTTCTTTCCCCACACTATCCAGCACATTTAGCAACAGTAATCAATCATGTTAAATCCCTTACTTTCACTACAATGTTTTATGGCAGCAACTACTTGGTTACCTAAAGCTTTGCCTTCTCTGTGCACTTTACTGCAGTGTCTACAGGTAATAATTTAAACAGCTGTTTTGCTATTGCATGCTATGGAATACCAGTGCTCCCTTTATCACTGGAAACAGGTTCATTAAATCATTTAAGTCTAATATCAGAGACCCCAGAACCAATTTGGAGCACCTATCTATGATAACTAGACTAAAATATGGCCCCCAAAGATCTCTGACTCCTGGTATTCATCCCCTTGTATAGTAGCCATTATGTAATATACGTTGTCTTAGGATCGGTCTAAATAACCAATAGAATATGTCAGAAATGTTTATATTTAAAAAGAAGAACGGTATAACCCAACAATCCATCATAAAGTTCCTCCACCATAAGAAACTTTAAAAGCTGGAAATGATGGCTCATGCCAGCAATCCCAGCACTTTGGGAGGCTGAGGTGGGTGGAACACTTGAAGTCAGGAGTTTGAGATCAGCCTGGCCAACATGGTGAAACCCCGTCTCTATTAAAAATACAAAAATTAGCTGGGCATGGTGGTGGGTGCCTGTAATCCCAGCTATTCAGGAGGCTGAGAAAGACCCCTGAGAATCACTTGAACCTGGGAGGCAGAGCTTACAGTGAGCCAAGATTGCATCACTGCACTCCAGCCTGGGTAACAGAGTAAGACTCTGTCTCAAAAAAACTAAACGAAAATTAGCCAGGTATGGTGGCATCCACCTGTAGTCCCAGCTACTCAGGAGGCTAAGGTGGGAAGATTATTTGAGCCTGGGAGGTTGAGGCTGCAGTAAGCCATGACTGCACCACTGCACTCCAGCCTGGCTGACAAAATGAGGCCCTCTTTCAAAAAAAAAAAAGGAAAAAAAATGTTTTTAATGAAACTTGAAACCCCAAATAATATATACACAATGACCACAAATGCAGACTTTTTTATTTTTTTGAGATGGAATTTTGCTCTTGTTGCCCAGGCTGGAGTGCAATGGCGCAATCTTGGCTCAACGCAACCTCCACCTGGGTTCAAGCGATTCTCCTGCCTCAGCCACCCAAGTAGCCTGGATTACAGGCATGTGCCACCATGCCCGGCTAAATTTTTTTTGTATTTTTAGTAGAGATGGGGTTTCACCATGTTGGCCAGGATGGTCTCCATCTCTTGACCTCGTGATCCACCCGCCTCGGCCTCCCAAAGTGCTGGGATTACAGGCGTGAGCCACTGCGCCCGGCCAAATGCAGACATTTTTATGTATAATAACATAGATTAGAACAGAAAATTTATAGAGGTATAAACTTACAGAGTGTGCTATTTATCCATTTCTTTATTATTGTGAAAGATAAAGGTGGCATATGTTATTTATCTGCTTGCTAATCAACAAATCAGTCAAGCTTCTTTGGTGTGCTTAAAATACAAACACTGTCTTTTTAATTCCTACCTGGTAAATGATGGAGGTCAAGGATGCATTTATTACCACAGCACCATCTTTCAGGGCTTTTACTACGTGGTAAGAGCCATTCACAGTAGTTAGTTGCTCTTCAAAGTACTCCTTAGGAAAGTCGTGTGTAATCCTGAGATTCTGAAAATCAGCCCCACAGTAACACAAACCTGAAGATATGTTCTTTCCCTGAAGCCATCTTAATCCCAAAGCATATATAAAACTGTAGCTATGCGTTCATGGAATAAAGAGATAAAACAAAACTCTTGCTCTCCCTCATGGAAATTCTAAGTTGGGGAGATATAACTTTAAAATGGTACTAGTTTTTGAAAGATCTATCAATGGCAAGCATTAGGAATAGCAAGAGTCAAAGCTTATGCAAATTTTAGTGTAATTTTTACCATATTATAAATTGACAGTTCTCAGGATAAAATAAGGACCCTGAGTACAATATTTCACATCTAATTTTCATACTACTCTCATCACTACAAAACTCTGGTAATCATCTCTGATGTGAAGTTGTAGAATGAGGACACCCTCCAAAGTGTTATCACTGGTACTCATTTCAATTCTTTTCCATAATTCTGACCAAATTATATCTTTTACTTCTGATTTAGCATTCCTCAAGAATAGAACTAGCTGGGCATGGTTAATTATGCCTTTAATTCCATTGAGGTAGGAGGATTGCTTGAGCTAGAAGTTGGAGGCTGCAGTGAGTTATGATCACACCACAATTCCAGCTTTGGTGACAGAGACTGATTCTCTTTACAAAAAAAAAAAAAAAAAGGCTGGGTGTGGTGGTTCACACCTGTAATCACAGCACTTTGGAAGGCCAAGGCGGGTGGATCACGAGGTCAGGGAATTGAGACCATCCTTGCCAACATGGTGAAACCCTGTCTCTACTAAAAATACAAAAATTAGCTGGGCATGGTGGTGTGTGCCTGTAATCCCAGCTACTCCAAGAGGCTGAGGCAAGAGAATCTCTTGAATCAGGGAGTCAGAGGTTGCAGCGAGCCGAGATCGCCCCACTTGCACTCCAGCCTGGTGACAGAGCGCAACTCGTCTCAAAAATTTAAAAAATTTAAAAAAAGAATAACAGAATTAATGATAATAGTAAATTAGTAAGCTGCTTTTCCAAAGGTAAAAATCTAGAATCAAAGAAAGAAAGAGGGCTTGGGTTTTCTAGCCAGGAAGATGGCCCACTGCATATCTTATGTATCTCATCCCTATAAGGAGCTCAGAAAAATACAAAAGACTGACTCACATCTGAAATATAGACCTTCGTGCTGCTTCTATCAAAGACTTCTACTGTAATGACATACAACTGTCCCACCTCTAGACTCCATCGATTTCCAGGCTGGACAGTGAAACCTACACATAAATTGAGAAACAGAAATATTAGAAGAGGCTAACATTTTTCTACAGGTGGGACAGTGAAACCTATACACAAATCAAGAAACAAAAATATTAGAAGAGGCTAACATTTTTCTACAATGAATTTAAAAATACAATCTAAAAATACAATAAAGCTATTCAAACAGCAAAATTTACTAATAGATGGAGATGGTTTCCAAAGTAGATTCTTTCTTCCTTCCTTCCTTCTTTCCTTCTTCCCTCCCTCCCTCCTTTCTCTTTCCCTTCTGTTTATTTCTTTCTTTCTTCCTTTCTTTTCTTTATTTCTTTGACAGAGTCTTGCTTTGTTGCTCAGGCTGGAGTGCAGTGGCGATCTTGGCTCAACTGCAACCTCCACTTCCTGGGTTCGACTAATTCTTGGGCACGCCCTCGTGCTCCCAAATAGCTGCAATTACAGGTGTGACACCACCATGCTCAGCTAATTTTTGTAATTTTAGGAGAGATGGGGTTTTGCCATTTTGGCCAGGCTGGTCTCAAACTCCTGGCCTCAAGTGATCTGCCTGTCTCAGCCTCCCAAAGTGCTGGAATTACAGGCCTGAGCCACTGTGCCTGGTCTAAAGTAGATTTGTTTTGTTTTCTTGAGACAGGGTCTCACTGTCACAGATGCTGCAGTACCGTGGTATGATCATGACTTACCTCAGCCTTGACCTCCTGGGCTCAGGTGATCTTTCCACCTCAGTCTTCTGAGTTGCTGGGACTACAAGCTTAGGCCACTGCACCTGGCTAATTCTTCTATTTATAGTAGAGACAGGGTTTCCCCATGTTGCCCACACTGGTCTCAAACTCCTGGGCTCAAGTAATGTGTCAACCTCAGACTCCCAAAGTGCTGGAATTAGACATGAAACACTGCACTTGGCTCTCCAAAGTAGATCTTTTAGTTCCTTCTCTCAATATAAGGCCGGGCCTGGTGGCTCAAGCCTATAATCCTAACACTCTGGGAGGCCAAGGAGGGAGAACTGCTTGAGCCCAGGAGTTTGAGACCAGCCTGGACAACACAGCAAGATCTAATCTCTACAAAATATTTAAAAATTAGCTGAGTGTGGTGGCTCGGAGCTATAACTCCAGTTACTGATAAGGCTGAGGTGGAAGGATCACTTGAGCCCAGGAACTGGAGGCTACGGTGAGCTGTGATTATACCACTGCATTCCATCTTGGACAATAGAGCCAGACACTGCCTCAGAAAAAAAAAGAAAGAAAAAATTGTATAATAATTTAGGGTTCCAAAAATCCTGGTTTAACTTAGCTCATCTCAGGCATAAAGAAACACTTTAGGCCGGGCACGGTGGCTCACGCCTATAATCCTAGCACTTTGGGAGGCCGAGGCAGGTGGATCATGAGGTCAAGAGATCGAGACCATCCTGGTCAACATGGTGAAACCCCGTCTCTACTAAAAATACAAAAAATTAGCTGGGCAT